CCCATTCCTGTATGGGAAAACTCAACCCGTTCATTTTCTTGTTGGATGATAATGACTTGAGACAGAGTAGAATCATAATTTATAAATATATAAACTGGTTTTTTTCTTGCACGCAAATTAAATTATTGTTCACCAAGAGCAATGCACGGAAGCCAGTTGCAATTTAAATCCTGTTCATCCTATCTGTTCTTATGTATTAATTATTATAAAATTAGTTATGATAAGATTATGTTTGTAATGTTGGTCTGCACGAGTTAGAAATAAACATTACAGATTATTAAATGATTGCTTCGCTTTTCTGACAGCAAATGTTAGCTATATTTAATTTGTAAATGCATGTAATATAGGCATTTTATTACTCAAAATATTCAGTCCGATATAACTATATTCGCACTCCACTCTAATTGTATATAGAATTTTCGTGTTGCACGTGTTTGCAAAAAAATGAAATCATATACGTCGTTTAAGACTGAATCTACTATCTTTAATTCTAATTTTTTCATAATAGTCTCATAATATTCACTGTGTCGTCCTCATTCAAACAGTTATGGTCGTTACTATTATAAATCACAAGTAAAAAGTCTAATTTAATTGATGTGTAAGAGAATAAATATAGGTTACTTATTTAGATAAACAGGATCAAATTTAATTTTGTGATTTTCATAGTTGACCAACAATTTGGTTAATCCACTGCGACGCACTCATTAAGTCTCAAATGACACAAATTATAACGAGGAGATTAAGCCTTCATTGTGACAAATAAATTTATGAATAATTTATAAATTCATAAAAGTCAAAAACATTAATTTAAAAACAAATTAGTAACTACTACTTATTATTATCTACATATTTCGTAAGATCCAATATTATTGCTCTTACTAAACCATTTATAAATTTGTCATAGGCTAAATGTATTTATTTTATTTAAAATTACTTCATATATTAAAGGAATTTCACAATATTAACATTTTGTGCAACCATTTAGTAGCTGATGTTAGTATCTTTCTAAACTTTATGCAAAAATAATAAGGATTATTCTACTTGTACATTTAGGTGAACACATAATGCACAAGTGACATTTCGTCATTGGTTGGGGGAAATTGTTTTTTTTCTTTCACCAGAGAATAATAGAATGCCACTTGTACATCTAAGTGTTCCTGTAGCGAAGCTCTCATAAATATTATATTTGCTTAAATGAGTGTATTAATTGATTACCAATGGCTTTGTGTTAACTTTGTTAATAAGAAATTTATGTTTTTAATTTTACAATGATGGATAATATTGAAACATCTTGTATCTTCACACTTTCTTGGAGGTTTTTTATATATATGTCATTCAATTATTTATTTATTTATTTTGCAGATAAGCTACACTATTGTAGGAACTTCTTAGCACTTTTCTCATCAAACATAGTTCCCCTGAATGGTTTTGAAATGTTGTGTTTCACATCATAAGACTCATGATTAGAACGCTCCACCTCTCATGTTCCTTTCATCATCAATGAAACTTTCAACAGTTAGAGGTGCATATTGTTTTTTCATTAGTTTAAGTCCACGATCCAGACACCCTAGAACAAAAGAAATGCTCTCTTTCCAAGTCTTGAAATTTGTGTCATTAAGCACATAAATGTAATTAATGTTGACAGTAGTAGAAGCAATAGAAGTAGTAACTAAATAGAGAATAGAGAAAAATAATAATCTCACAATCCAAAAGTTTATGTCAAGACATTTAATGATAACACATGTATACATGATATAAATGACCAAAAATAGTGGTGGGTCTCATTTTAAGATATCTATTATTTAGTTTCGACAGAAATATCAACTTGTAAATAATACCCTCCATGCAGAAATCAAATGTTGAATATAAATCCTATCAAACAATAATTTCATTGTTCACATGGCAACTAAACAATTATCATATATTTATTCTCGCAAATATGTTTATTATTGACCAACAAATAATCTTCATTTGGACCGATCATTGCTTGCATAAATAACAAACATACACATCTTAATATCCCAAAAATAAATCTACGCAGAAGAGGTTAATATAGTAATATATTGTTTCAAGTAGTTTTATTTCAAGATATAAGACAACGGTGCAAACATTTTTTTTTTTTTTAATTTCCCGAACCTTGGCGCCACAAGCATAACTGAAACTTGGTGCCTTGTTGGCACCACGAATCCAATCGCACCGACGAAATTTCTGTCCCTTGTTTCGAGCGAAAAATCCCAAATTAAATAAATTTTGAAAATTGGTGTTTTTCTTTTAGAATCCATAATCGAAAACATCCATATAACAAAATAAATAATTCTTAAGTTTTCTCATACAATTCTACATCGAATCAAAGCTTAAGAAAGAAAATTGGAATACCTCAAAATTGTACCACGAATTAAAAAAAAAAAAAAAAATCCTAACAATCATGCAATTGCGATCAGGATAATTAAGAAAATCATACATAATTTATATTTAACGCAAAATTTTCACATGACTATTTGAATAACAATTCAAAATTATGTATGATATCAAGATATTCATAAAGTATAACTATCATGATCATTCCTAATGATCTAACATGAAAGTTACCCCTGATACCACTTGTTGGATCTTAATTTACAAATACATTGTTAAAACCCTAGATTCAATCTATCATATATGCCAACGAATCTCATATCGAATTATTAAGAATTCGATAGAAGTGAAAACATACATGAACCCATGATAATGAATCAATTGGGGTTTGATGTCTTCCACAGACTAATCACGGTACTCAATGAGTCTTTCTCACAGATAAAGAGTGTGAAGATGTACGATCGTGAATAATCAGTCTTGGGAACCATAAACTTTAAGGTTCTTTATATATTAGGTTTTAAGTAAAGACCCATTAATCCTAATTATTCTAGTATTGGAAAACTGCAAAGTCCATCCCTAATAGATGCCTCTACCGTCCAATAATAAGATCACTTAAATTGGCATGCTTCTACAGCCCAATAACAAGACCACTTAAATTGACCTACTTAATTAGAGCATGTTTGATCCCCATTTTTCTTTAAAAATGTATTTTGAAATAGTAGATTGATGAAGAATATGTAGTTAAAAAATAAAGAAAAAATTTTAAGTTTGCATTTAATATTGTTTTATTGAATAATATATGGTTGATAAAAAAAGAAAAGAAAAATGTATTCTGAAAATAATGAGAATCAAACAAAAACTTATATAGCTCGTATAACAATTATTAATCCGATGTATAAGCTCATCTAAAGAAAATAATATCCCAACAATTAACCTGAAGAAAGTGACACCAAATAACCCGTTCTTGCATGAGAAAACTCAGTTTGTTCATTTTCTTGTTGGATGATAATGACTTGAGACAGAGTGAAATCACAATTTTTATATATATAAACTGGTTTTTTTCTTGCACGCAAATTAAATTATTGCTCCCCAAGAGCAATGCACGGAAGCCAGCAGCAATTTAAATCCTGCTCATCCTAAGCAAAATTGACAATTATTATTATTAATTAACAGCAAATACCATCTTGGATCCATAGCCAGACAAATAAGTTTTTCCTCAGGAAACTCGTGCAAAACGTAATAATAACAATAAAAGTAGAGTCACAATTGGTATTATTAGTGTAATTGTTTTGTAAAGTAGACCATTTAATGAACATCATTGAAGATGAAGTCGGTTAAAGTGCAAAAAAAGGTAAAATTTTGCTGGAAATAATGCTAAAGAATTAGGTTAAACAAAATTTAAAGTTTCATTTTACATCTTCAATTTGAATGTAATGAAGGTCCAATAATTTAAAATTGAATCAATCACAACTTTAATTATATTCATTTTTATTTAATATAATTTGAACAAAAATGGTACAATTAGTATGGTTTGGTAAAGTTCCATGCATATAAAATGCGTACTATCAAACTTAGGTGAATGAAAATTAAACAATTATGTCCGCTTGACCAAAATCAGGTGTATTGAGTCTATTGATCATATATTGGTTTCCAATGATGATTGGTTTGACATATATTAAAAGGGTAAAGCCATTTGTCCACTCTAGTGTACATGTAGTACAGTTGTATATTAAAATAGCGATCATATTTCATCCTTTATTAGGCATAATTAAATAGTTTTGAACAAAATTTTAATTTTTTTCCTCAATATTTTGCAATATTAATGTTTTAAAAAGGGCATTTAGGTACGAAATTTGACCTTGCCTTTTGTTTACATTTTTACACATTTTTACTCTTAGACTAACTTAACTTGTAAAGTTTGAAGTTTGATCTTGTTGCCGAACCTTTGCACTTTTTAGAACATTGTGCAATACTATATGTATATATCTCCTTATCAAATAACATTTAAGGTAAAATAAGAATTAACGGACGTAAGAAATGAATATGATTTCAGAAATGATAGTATGCATATTAATTACTAATATTAAAGAAAAAAAATGATAAATCTTATTTTGAACCACAAGACATCAATGTTATTTTCTTTGCTGTATCAGTATCAATATGTTATACCAACAAGTGGTAAATAATTAAGAATAATCTTTTTCTTGATTCATATAATATTATGAGATCAATTTCACAAATATTGGAAGTTAAACTCTTGTTTGGTTTAGCTAATAATCAGTTTTTTAATTGATTTCGCTAAAAATTGATGAAATATATAAAGTTGATTAAATTTGTGATCCTATAAAACGTCCTCTTAAAATTTACTTTACTTTAAATTCTTATCTTTTTTTTTTTTTTTTTTTTTAAAACAAACATGGACTAAAATTAATCAATTCATTTTTTTTTTTTTTTTTTTTTTTTTTTTTTTTTTTTTTTTAAGTTAAAACAAACATGGACTAAAATTAATCAATTCATCCTATGAAATCCTCGCAGAGCAATTACAAAACTACCCATATTTAATTATAAACTTAAAACAATTTGTGGATAAATCCACATTATAAATACCCACAAGATTCAGATTCATTTGCACACAGCACAATCTTTCTTACACTAGCTAGTCTTTTAATTATCGTAGCTACTGGTAACATGTCTAAAGTTCTAGAAGTAACCCCTCCGATAAGATGTTCACCTGATAAGTTTTATGATTTCTTCAAAAACCACATGAGTGATCTCCTCACTGTATTTCCTGCGAGTTTCAATAGTGTTCAGGTTCTTGAAGGAGAGAACGGTAAAGTTGGTTGTGTCAAGGTTTGGAATTTTGTTGCTGGTAAGAATAAAATTATTGAATGATTCTGTATATTTGCACAAACATGATCTTATATTTATTGATTTACGGGAAATCCTACTTTGACATTCATTTTGGACATTTTGGTTGACATTCTACGACGTGTCAAAAATCTGGCCATTCAAATCAATGGTCAGATTGCCTATTACGTCATGAAATGTCAACAACATTTTCAGTATAGTAAAACTCTTAATTTATATAACACAGTCGAGATTAATACGTAGAAGAAACGTTGCAACGCATTGCCAGTTGTGATACATGACCATCCACTAAAACTTACTATTATCAATGGAAAAATATATCAATTTAACATATTATGTTCAATCCTATGTCAGTGTTTTTATAGGCGGTCCAACCCACCTTTCACCTCGGCCTGTTTTACGTTTCTAATCTTGATGAACACATGCATGTATTTTCTCTTGTTAAAGAATGATATTTGGTTGATGGCATTTTATATGTATGTATGTGGCAGGAGGGATTACACAGATGATTAAACTGAGGGCTGAAGCAATAAATGATGCAGAAAGAACCATTACTTACAAAGCCATTGAAGGAGATCTCATGGTCCTCTACAAAGTTTTCCAGTTCACAATTGCTCCTGGTAATGGGGTTGCCAAATGGACTATTGTGTATGAGAAAACTTCTGAATTAGTTCCGCCTCCAGAAATCTATGGTGTCTTTTCAATTAGTATAACTGAAGTGGTGGACCTTTATCTTCTCACCCATTAAGCATGGAACTGGTGTTTATCTATAATATAAATGCGTGGTGTGTATGTTATGAATAAGACCATCTCCCATTTGGTTACTGTTGACAATCTTGTAATGTGTAAACTTTTTTATTGTGTTTTTCTGTTTAAAATAAGAGTTGGGTGAAAAAGTGCATATTTATTATGAAAAAAATATAATCTTGTATTTTTTCTTAATTCATCATGATAACAAGAGTTCCAGTGAAAGTATATTTTAGGAAAGGACAATAAAATACTTGATCTCCTCAAACCCGATATAAGTAGAAATCTCACAACAAGAGTAGCTCAAGAGCCCCAGGCATATATAAAACTACAAGTTGCTGATGTTAAGGGTAAGATTCCGTGTCATTTAAGTATGAAAAAAAAAAATCAACATGTAAGGGTTTGAATTTACTTCTATTAATAACGTTAATCTTTTTTTTCCCTGAATTGCCGGTAGCACGATAATCTACTAATTCAATGAGAATTGAGAATTTAACATTCAATTACGATAATTTGTTGATTGTTTAACTTAGTTACTTGTACTTAGCTTGTTAACTTTGTCCACCGGAACTGCGGAAACTCTAACAAAAAATTTGAATATATTATTGAAAGATCAATTCTACCAATATACCTTTTTCATAAAAAAAAAATTCAATGATTACGGCCAGAGAGAGGGACCCGATTTCGACATAGATGTCATATAAAATCCAAGCAAAATATTGCCACTTTATACTAATGAATGAACGAGTTAAATCCATTTATATCTCAAGTTAGTCACTTATTCATAAATGATTTAACTTGGTATTAACGTACTTGTTATAAATATCATGTGTCTAATTCAAAATACTTGATGAGAAATGTGACCAATTAACTAAAATTACTTATTGCAAAAATAAATAAATAAATAAAATTGGGCATGTTACGTTTTTTTTTAGAAAATATGCAATTTATAATAAAATTATCTACAACTGTTATATATTTCACAATAAATTTTCTTTGTTTGGTAATTTTGTTCTTATCCAAAAATGTTCTCTTAGAATTGGATGCATTGAATTGCTCAGCCTTAGTAACTTAATTGGGGGTGTTAAAAGGATTGAGCCAAGCTGCTAGACTTGTCACAGTTGGGTTCGATTTAGCCCATCACATGAGCTGGCTAACGCTTGTTTGTGAGGTTAGCCAAGTGCAAGTTGACTCGCTTCATCAAAATGTGGTTCGACTCACCCCTTGGTGGAGCAAGCCGCTCATGGCTCCCCAATTTTTTTATATTATGGGAATTGAAAATTGCACTTTTATTTCCAAGAACTATTATGAAAGATCTAAAGTCATGTTAAATGTCAATAATTATATTACATCAAAAGCTTTAGAAAATTGTAAAAACACTTGTGCTTGGAACTCGCTACAATATCCATCTAAAGTTAAAATTATGCAAATATATATATTTCATGTATAATTTAATAATTTTTTAAAATAAATAAATGAAAGCTTAAAATATGAGCAACTTGCGAGCAATAGGTAAGTTGGCTCACTTGGCTCACGGTCCAGCTCATGCAAGCCAAGTAAGGTCAATTCAGGCATGTGGCTACAACTCACTTTGGACATGAGCCGAATTTGCTTGACTCACAAGTTGGGCGAGCCGACGAGCAGCTCACCCAATTCCAACCCCTAGAGTTGATGGCAAGTGCTTCATATCATTGCCAAAGTATCTTTTAATTAATTACTCTTTATGGAGGAACTATCATTTGACTATGTTGTCTAACGGTGGTTTCACGATTAAACGATAGGTATTAATGCACAGAAATAAATGATAGCCATTTTGTTACTCAAAATATCCAATTCGATACATCTAGATTCTCACTCCAATATGGATTTTATGAATAATACTTATTAATTTCTCCCCCCCCCCCCCCGGGAAAGGGTACAAGAAAAAAATGTTTCACGTGTTTGCAAGAAGTACTGGATATTGAATACAACTGTACAAGTTATTTTCCTTAAAATAATTATGGTTATATTTGAATAAATTTCTCTGTTGAACAATTTCATGGGCCAACAACGAAACTAATATGGTCTAAAAATCTTGGTCGTTGAAAGTGAAATTTCACATAATTGTATGACGTTTGGTGCTAACTATGTGAAATGTATGTATCTTTGAAAAGTGATTAAATTAAAATTTAAGTGATTATAAGTTGTAGTGTGAAGGCCCGAGTGACACGGCTTTTAAAAAGTTAAAATGAGCTTTTGAACCCATTTGATTTTATTTTTTTTTTTTTTTTTTTTTTTTTTTTTTTTTTTTTTTTTTTTTTTTAAA